TGATGGCGTCAAGTGTGGCAGCGGTAGTGAGGTTGGCCCAGGATCGGACATTGTTTCGTTCTGCTGTGCATGGGGTTGCTATGAGTCGGTTCTGACTCAATGGCACCTGACAACAACTTTCAGAAAGTAAGGTTGTATCATCTGCATATCTCAGGTTGTTAATGTGTTTTCCTCCAATCCTGATGCCATGTTTTTCTTCATATAATCCAGCTTCGCTGATTATTTGTTCAACATACAGATTGAATAAGTATGGTGAAAGAATACAAACCTAGTGCACACCTTTCCTAATTTTAAACCATTCAGTATTCCCTTGTTTTGTTTGAACAACTTCTTCTTTGTCCATGTACAGATTCCTCATGAGCACAATTAAGTGTTCTGGAATACTCAGTCTTCACAATGTTATCTATCACTTGTCATGATCCACACAATGAAAGCCTTTGCATAGTCAATAAAGCACAAATAAACATCTTTCTGGTGTTCTCTGCTTTTAGTCAAGATTAATCTGACATCAGCAAGGATGTTCCACATCCTCTTATGAATCCGGCTTGAGACTCTGGAAGTTCTCTGTCAATGTATGCTTGCAGTCATTTTTGTATTACCTTAGTAAAACTTTACTCGCATGGGATATCAGTGATATTGTCTGATGATTTCTGCATTCCATTGGGTTACCTCGCTTTGTAATGCATACTAATATGGATCTCTTCTAGTCAGTTTGCCAGGTAGTTGTCTTACAAATTTGTTGGCATAGATGAGTGAGTACCTCCCTTGCTGTATCAGTTTGTTGAAAGATTGAACTTGTGTTCCATCAATTCCTGATGGTTTATTCTTTTTTTTTTTTCCTCCAGTTTTTATTGTGAGGTTTACATGGGAGAACATCAGCTTTACACTCATCCTATCATATTTCATTTCATTGCAAAGATTACAATCCCCTCCATGCATCATCAAATAACCAAAGGGTACACCCGGCTGCCAGCACACAGCCCTTCTCCCTCCCTGAGTCCAGAGTCCCCAGTCACTCCATCTGTCCACATCATCGTCTCTGTCTCCATCCCTGGCATCACTGTCTCTCAGGTTAGGGTCCTGCTCTCCGTTCTTCTCACTTGATGGTCCCAGTGATCTCCACTCCTGGGCTGCAAAATCAGTCACTCTCTTCTTTTGTAAAAAAACATCTACCTCTATATTTCCTACCCTCACAGTCAGTCCTGATGGCAATTATTCACTATTGTACCACAAGAGTCTTATCCCCATTTCCTTTCGCCAGCCCGGTCCCAACCAATTGGAAATAATTCAGTGGAGATTCTACCTTCCCCTGTCCTATCTGGAACTAGGCTTCCTCTTGAAAGCTTGTAAGCCAGTCG